ACAATGCTTTTAAAATTATCGATCAATTTTTTCTGGGATGAATAGAACAAGTCACGTAAGTAAGGAGTAAAAAATTGAGTAGAAATTGAAAGTATGTGTATTAATACATACTTTTTTGGATCAGATTAGGTGTATGTGTGTTAGATAATGTGGATCTTTTGACATTGTTTTGCACCTTTTAATATTAAACAGTGCGCTGACATTCAAACACTAATTTAATCGAGTCTCGATTGGTTTCATTTAATGTGTCGGTAACACTTCCAAAAAAATATTATTATTATATTACATTGAATTCAAACTCTTTATCACTTTTCCCTTTCTCATTCTTTAAATTTTATTTATTTGTTAAATTTGTACACAAATTTTACCACCCTTTGTGGGCAAAGCTAGATAATGATGTGTTGTTTTTGAAATGATTATGTAGCTTTCTAAACCACCCAAGATAGAAATTTCTAACCAACCATATTAATGTCCACATTATTGGAGTGGGAATATTTTGACCATTTTACCATGATTCCGATTCTAGATTCTGGTGATGCTTTCTTTTTTCATACGTTATATAGTGGTAAGAAATGGGGTTGGAAATGCAATATTTTGCCCCGTAACGTGCGCTTCTAAGTTGTCAAAAGTTAAAGAATTTTTTATAATATTTGAATATTTCTAATAAAAAAATAAATTTGCTCATGATTTTGACCAACATGTATTTAATTTGATTGGAGACTCGACTGATATCTAGTTATAGTACATTGTGATCTAATGGCACCAAGTTGTTTCTCCATATAAAAAGTTGTAGGTTCGAGTTTTAGTGAAGGTTGATGCCATACTAATGCTAACGATACTTGATATTTGATTTCTTGTGACAAATTTCACTTTTGAGACCAGTCTTATTGGTTGGAAATGACTTAAATGTTGTACAAAAAAGGTGGAACATGGAACAATAAAAATTTTTAAGTGACTAAAAAAAAATTTATCACCACTATTCAAGGTGCGGGCGCAAAAAAAATCTAACTACACAGATTCAATTGATAAAATATTAACAATAATCAAACTTAATATCTTTAGATATGAGAACTATACTTCACCCATTCAATTATTTATTTCCTATCGGTTCAGAATAAAAATTTCTAAAAGAAAGAAGGTGGAAAGGTCATCAATGACTAGAAATGTCTAGAATGGTAGATTAGTCGGTGCCCACAATTTTGGGTAATTGGCCCTTTTGGCTTCAATTGACCATCCACTTATTTTCTTGGCCATAATTTTCAAAGATTGTAAGATTAATACATAACAATAAAATATTAGTAGTGACCAAATAAATAAAACATAATTATTGTATGTAAAGATAATGTATCTGATTCTTATCAATACTCTTTTAGTTAAATTCGCCATACAAAATCTTCCTAGTATAATGCAATATAATTCAAGGCATTACATTGGAATATAATTTAACTTTCGGATAATAATTATGAGTTTCTTTAATAAAAAAAAAATTTGTAAATATATGAATTGAATAATCCTAACTTTGTTTATACATGAATTCTCAAAATGTAAAATAACTAAAATAATAATAATTTCAAGACAAGATCCAGAAGCGCCATTGGCCCTTCTTAGATACTGCAGTGTCAGCTTCGTGCATGGAAAGTTTATTTATTTATTTTTGCATGGAAGTTTCAATATATATATATATATATATATATATATATATATATATATATATATATATAATTGTTACAAATTAAAAGTCAGTGTAGAAGCAGCCTGAAACGTTGAATTGATATTTTCCAAACGTTAAAGCCTAAAGGACAACATTATTTGTGTCTTTTCTTGTATGACACTCTGGAAATATCTGCACGCCACCACGGGGGAAACTTCCCTGTCTAACACGCTTTACAGTCATGGATGGAAATTTAATTTAGTTTAAAATAAATAAAATCAATCTTCTATTATGATTAAGACAACATTTGTGTCTTTTCTTGTATATTTTTTTTCCCCCACATATGTTTTTAATGGTCGGGCCGGGTAATGATGAGTCAATTTCCAGTCGTGCAACAAAACAACTTATGAATTGATTGAAACATTATTCATTGATTTCATTTCATGTCCTCAAAATAAATTTAAAGAAAAAAAAAGTTGAATCAATCAATTATTTTATAATAATCTTGTGGTGGGCATCAATTCATCTCAAGGTGGGTAGGTGCCGCCCTCAACTAGGGTTATTGGCATGAAATGGGTGATATAACTTGTGGTCCAACCCTCCATAGGAACAAGGAGAAGAAGCTGGACAACATTTTTGTTTTCAAACATTTTCAATTGACATGATATATCATATATAGAAATATATGTAGTTGCTAGCTATGTAGCTAGGTAGTCCCTACCACGTAGTACTACAAACATTAAATATACTAATTAGCATAGTGAACCGATATTTTTCACCATTTTTAAAAAAAAGATTACTGATATGAAAAAGAAATAAGATAATAGAAGCGAGATTTTTTTGCTAATTTGATATGAACTTAATTAGATTGCTCATTCCCCCCACCCCACCCCAACCTTCAAGACGGCAGGCAAGCCTCAAGTGATGCCTCATTCGACGTTCTACAAGTGCATGATCGAGTTGGGCTAGCTTAGCATGCACCCGTCTTACTAATGTAGTTCTGAACTAACTGATATGAACCAAGGCCCTAATTACGTACACCACAAAAGCTAGCTCAGGAGTGTATGCTTGACCTAAGTCTTATATATTAGCACATATTCTCATCAGTAACCGATGTAGGACATATCATAACTCATGCTAAATTTTTGTAACAAAGAAAAAACAAAGATCACCCAACACATTAGAGTGATCGCTAGTTGACGACCACTCTAACTTTTTTGTTTTTGTTTTTTTTTTAGAATCTTCAAATGTTCACATGACAAAAACCAAAAAATAAAAATAAAAATCACAACCACTAAAGATGCCCTACTTCACATTTTTATTCTCCTGGCCTATTTAATTAGTAATAGGCTATTTGCCTGTTAAATCATGACATGAACCTGCAACATGCAAATATAAGAAACTATATATATTGAGAATTAATTATTGTTGTTAACTGATCGGGAAAGTAATTAATTAATTGATTATATGTGTGTTTGATTTTCAATGTGGTTAATTGGTTCGTTTTGATTAGTTTATGTTTCTCGTGCAACATGTTCTTGTCCATCTCTAGCTAAATTAATAATTAGCATCAACATGAAATAAGTTTTTTTAGTCATACAATTATGTATGTATATGTTTATAAGACACCGATATATATAGATGTTTACTTTCAAATATGAACCAATGCTATCGTGTGAATCCGTGTATCATTATGCATTAGATCTTGGCCGTCCAATCTCACATCTCGGGGTGCACAACTCCTCAGATCTTGGACGTCCATTCTCACATCTCGGGGTTCACAACTAAAAGACGCGCGTGTGCAGGCCAATGGGCTCCAAGCAACACGTAAACCGTAGGTCATGACATTTGGCATGACTTTGATACCAAATTGAAGCATGTACTCCACCACAACTAAAAGCCTAAGCTGATAATTGAATTACACACACACACACATACACACACACACACAGACACATATATATATATATATATATATATATATATATATATTATATGCTCAACAAAAATGATAGTAGAGTTTACCTGGCCTTCACTAATTGTTTTCTTTAATTTAGGAAAATTTCCAGCCGGAGTCACTAAGGTGGACTATGGGTAAAGAGCTAGCCTATTTATGTTACCCCAAGACTGACCAATTCAAATTAAGAAGACATTAGAACATTGTAATTATTAAGTTAATTTTTTGATTAACCCAGGTGCAACTACTTTCTAAATATAGTAAAGGTGCAAAAATAACATTAAAAATTAACAAAAAGGGGTTGGATAAGTATGAAAACGACATTATTAATGGGAGCAGCCAGGCGTGGAGGAATAATGTAATTGAATTTAAATACAAGTTGCGCTAGGTGATTAATATATTACATATTTACACACACACTTCCTGCTTCCTTTATATGTTTGTGTCCCCATGGTATTCTTTGTTTTGTGACTTTTGTCCAATTTATACTTATTAAAAACAGGTCTTTCAAAGTTAATTTAATATTTGTTTTTAGATTGATGACGAAAGAAACATACAATCATTATCGAAAGTGTGTATTAAATTTTAGTGTTTTGAAATAATAAGTTGATTAATCAGGCACTTAGATTATTTAACTAAGTTAAACAGCTAATAGTAGTTAAATAAATAAAAAATTAACTGATAAGCTAACTATGTTACTAAATGAGGCTTTATAATATTTATGTGTTGGATGCCCCTCCGAATCTTTTTGTTGATATTTTCGGTTGATAATGACTTAAATATTTTTTCGGATCTTTTCAAAAAATAAAAAAATACAAATTCCGATGTTATGGGTCACCAAGCCTTATACGGAGGTGGGCTTTATGGTAAAGTTTGACTCCAATTTGGTATAGTTACTACTGGCCCAGCCCATTTGTAAAAATGGTCTAGCCCATAGATATCCACATATAAGCAGTTTCAAATAGTGTTTAGTTGGCATATTGCATTTTGTTTGGGACAAGGCCCATATCATTCTTAATACAATAGTGATTGCGTGGACCGTGGACCGTGATCCAAACAACTGTGTAAATTACAAAAAACAATATCATTTCGTGTCACTGCAACATACATTTTTATAATTCATAAAATACATTATCTTACCCAAAAATTTCATTATTCTAACCTAACTCAAATGTAATCTACTTTTGTTGTCATTCTCACAAAATTATCGAGGTTTATAATTATAAAACTCTAAAAATATAGATGAAATTGTCATTTTGTTAAAGAAATTGGTACCTATTTCTTTTGTACCAGGTAAATATATTGAGTTATACTCCGTATTAAATACAAAAAGTCATTGGTATATTAATATAAAGTTGATCCATCTAAATTCTTACCTGCGAGGAATTACACCCACCGATTCACCGACACTCATTATTTTTATCAGTGTAGAAAGAGAAACATCATTAAACCAAACAGTTAACGAGATTGAGATCAATCCCACCAAGAATTATCACAAAGGTTATCGGGAAATTCCATGAAAACCGTCTGTTTTTCCTCCGTCGTTCCCGTATAACCACCATGCCGCCTCCGCCGCCGCCGCGGCGGATTCCTCTAATAACCGCTGCTTTCTCCTGCCTGTTCCTCGCCGTCGTTGCGGCGGCCGTTACTGAAGATTCCGATCTGGAAACGGGCTGCGACGGGCGATGGATCCACATCCGCCATCTCCCGCCGCGGTTCAACCTCGACCTCATCTCCAACTGCTCTCAATACCCCATTTTCGACGATTTCTGCCCTTATCTCCCCAACCATGGCCTCGGCCAGAAAACCCATAGCTCCTCCCACAGCTGGTACCGCACCGACCCCTACATGCTCGAGCTCGTCTTCCACCGCCGTATGTTGGAGTATCCCTGCCTCACCTCCGATCCTTCCCTCGCCGCCGCCGTCTACCTCCCGTACTACGCCGGCCTCGACAGCCTCCGCTACCTCTTCGGCCCCGAGGCCAACTCCAGTTTCCGGCACGGCCTCGATCTGTACGATTTCATTGCCCGCGTGGATTCGCCCTCCGTGTGGGGAAGAAATCTGGGTCACGATCATTTTCTGGTAATGGCCCGCCCCGCCTGGGATTTCACGCAGCCGGTGACCAACGACCCGCCGGTTTTCGGAACCTCGTTTCTTGAATTGCCGGAGTTTTTCAATTTAACGGCGTTAACCCTCGAGGCCAGAGCTTACCCTTGGCAGGAAACAGCGATTCCGTATCCCACTTCGTTCCACCCTCCGAATTTAGCATTCTACGAGTCCTGGGTGAACAGAGTGAAACGGTCCCGGAGAACCGCCGTGATGCTCTTCGCCGGCGGCGGCGGGATCTCCGCAAATCCCAATATCCGGCGGAGCATCCGCCTGGAGTGCGATAACGCCACTAATGTCAATATAAACGGCACTGGGTACCAAAAAGTTTGCGACTTTGTGGACTGTTCTAATGGGATTTGCGAGCATGATCCAATCAAATTCATGAAGCCAATGCTGCAGGCCACATTCTGCCTGCAACCTCCGGGGGACACCCCAACCCGGCGGGCCACGTTTGACGGGATCCTCGCCGGTTGCATTCCGGTGTTCTTCGATGATCTGACCGCCAAAAAACAGTACAAATGGCATTTGCCGGTGGAGAAGTACCCGGAGTTTTCAGTGTTCATACCAAAAGAGGAAGTTGTGTTCAATGGATTGAGAATTGTGGATGTTCTAATGAGCATTCCCAGAACTAAAGTAAGGAGGATGAGAGAAAAGGTTATAGAGATGATTCCCAGAGTGATGTACAGAAAGCATGGCAGTTCATTAGGCTTGAGGAACAAGAAGGATGCCATTGATATTGCAGTGGAAGGCACCCTGGAAAGAATCAAGTCTAAGCTTCAAGAACTCCCGGCTCAATGATTGTTTCTCGTTTCGTTTTAGATTGAACTCAAGACCCCCTTTATATCGCCTCGACCTCGTCCCTGGCCTGTAGTCTAAGCCATTCTTTCTTACTATGTATTTCATGTTCCACTGGTAATAATATATTTCAAAGGATTCATATCATCTTTGCCCAGATTCTATTGCCAATTTGTTGTTAATGCAACATTGAAAAGCTGCTTCTAGCAGTTGCAAAGCACCCGAAGGAGATAAACCAGTCTAGGTTGCCGATAGCTGACCTTAACCTGTCTAGGTTGTTGATAGCTGACCTTAACCCGTCAAGGATGCTGATAGCTGACCTTAATCCTTCTAGGTTGTTAATAGCTTACCTTAATCCATCTAGGTTGCTAATAGCCGACCTTAACCCGTCCTTAACCCGTCTAGGTTGTTGATAGTTGACCTTAACCCGTCTAGGATGCTGATAGCTGACCTTAACCCGTCTAGGATGCTGATAGATGACCTTAATCCGTTTGTTGATAGCTTACCTTAATCCATCTAGGTTGCTGATAGTTGACCTTAACCAGTTTAGGTTGCGGATAGCTGATCTTCTCAAACCAAGAAGGACGATAGGCCGCCCCCATTTGAAAGTCAAGCTTATAACCTTGTGATTATTAAGTTCAACAGTCTGACTAACTTAACTGGGGTTGCCCTGTTCTGGCATGATCTTGATTCTTGAATATAGAATGTGTGAAACATAAGTTCCATATGAACAAGGAATGAAATGCAGGCAAAGAAAACACTTTAAGGAAATTGGATGCTTTGAAATTTCAATTTATTTAATCAATGAAGAATGTGACTGCTGTGATATGGTTGTACAGATAATATTATGCAGTGTGTACTTGATAAGTCTATAAAATGTAAGTTGCAATATTTCACAGTTTAGTTATTGGGACCTTTGGAATAATATATCTCATGAAGTCTTCATTTGCCTGTGAAATCAAGTGTTCATCGTCCCATAGATCGCGGTATGTCTCGGGCTGTCCTCTTTTTCTCAGGCCAGTCGCGGAATACATTTCCTTTCTCCATTCTTCGATTGCTGGAAAATCACACTGGGCAGCTATCCAGTCGTCGTACTCAAACTGTGGACAAAGGGTATCGTCTCAGCCCAAAGCGAACTAGAAAACTATAAGCAATGTTGAAAAAATCGCTAGGCTCAGGCGGCTGGGGACCGTCTAGGGCGCCTAGAGCGCCTAAGCGGGCGCCTAGAATGCCTAGGCAGGTGCCTATAGCGCCTAGGAGGCCGACCGCCTAGCGCCTAGGCGCGATTTTTGCAACACTGACTATAAATTTGTGATAGCTGCTCCAAGACTATGATTTAGATAAAACGAATGTCCTGAATGGTTACCTGATGCTCGCCTACTCGATGGGTGTATCGTTTTAGCGTGCCATGTTTCTCCATATCCGAGTAGAGAGTTTCAACGTCAGCCATCATTTCCTCCTCCGGTGGAAGACAAACTCGGCCAGATAGGACCCTGGCGATCCACTTGCTCTGTAATTCACACAAAATAAACGGAACGACCTGGAAACAACACAACAAAACGCCTTGCTCATCCACCATAAACGTAAAACGCTCGATTAGCTAAGTGTGCAAAACCGGGAAATGTGCGTATGTGAAAGGATTATACCTTCCACGGGATCCCAACAAATGAAAGCCCCGGGGCTAAGGCCGGTGGAAAAACATGCTTGTAGAGTGGCCCTACACGGTTCTCATCCACGCTTACAACACCACCGGTTTCAAGGAAAGGAAAATGATACTTGTACCTGAAAACAAATTGAAGAATCGATTATCTTCTTCACTCCTCCATATCTATCGATTCTTCATCTCATTCTAGAACCTAAAGGTCAAGGGTCTAATTAAGTAGGACGCACCCAGTACAGTGTAGGATAGCGTCAGCATAAATTACAATTCCATCGGGAAAATTCACTCCACCATCCATGCCGAGAGCTTCTACCTGCATATTATATTTTACATTTTCAGAGAAAAAAGCGATAAACACTTTCTGGGTAGGTTTATTTAAAGGGAACAGGGAACTTTACCATGGGGTGGCGCCAAACGTTTTCATACCCGAGCAACTTTGCTGAGCTTCCCGTTTGAAACGATCTCGATGCAATATGGACCTCTTTAGCAACTTTAGCGATTTCTCGGGAGATATCTTCAGCACTAGCAGATGCCCCTATCACCACTACAACCTATAATCTTAAAAACTACATCATAAGCTCGATACCAACATCCTTAAACTCTTCTATACGCTAATGAAAGCACCTGCAACATACTTGATCTTTAAAACCATCGGGCACTCGATAATTGTGGCTGTGAATCTGCTCCCGTGGCCATACATCCATCCCTAGGATTTGAAAGAATCTTAATTAGAAATTCTGAAACATGCAGATCCCTAAAGGCCTAGAATCAGCGCAACAATCCAACACGAATCGAACTAAATTACAAAGACAAAAAGTAATCAAGAAACCTGAAGATCTAATCCTAGGCTAGATATAATCCTCAAGGTTTTAGTTTAGTTTAACATTTGACATTAGCAGACATATTAAGAATCCTAGAAACCAATAGTAAGCAAATTGATGAAAAGGCTTTCACCAAATCTAGAAGAACAGCATTAACAAAGATGACAGTAATCCAAAACTCAATCAAGGAAACAGCTTTTCATCAAATAGCACAGAACCCAGAATTGTTGCATATTTGTGTTAATCTCATACTCTCACTATGTTATGTCCATTTTCAAGGGAAAAAGATTCCAACTTTCATAGTGCAAATTGAAAAAGATTCCAACTTTCAAGGGAAAAAAGATTCCAAAATGAAAACCTGGAATTTCAGCAATTCGGGGCTCCGTATAGTGCCCATTGGACACCACCACAGCATCAAACACCTCATCTACATGTGCGGCGGCGCCGCCGCCGCCGCCGCAACCTCTCTTCATTGACCGGACTTTCCACTTCCCATCACCCACCAACCCCACGTATCTAACCTCCGTCGCGAACCTCACCAGCTCAGTAATCCGAAATTCTCCGGCGAAATCCTTCAAGTACTCCAGAACTTCCCGGTGACCGGGAAATCGCCGCGGATCTCGCCGGGGCTTTTTCGTGTCCACAAACGGGTAATCCAGGAAACCCATTACTTCCCGGGGGAGATTAGTCCGGAGAGAAGCATAGAGGCTCGACTGAACGACTTCCCTGCACGGTTCAAGTCCTAGCGGATCGGACTCGACAGCTGAAGTATACACCCAGGTGCCTCCGAGCTGGCTTTCCCGCTCAAAAACCACCACGCCGTGTCCCTCTCGCCGGAGCTCCCGGGCCGCCACTAGTCCCGCCGCCCCGGCGCCGATAACGGCGACGTTCTTGGAAGTGATCGGACGCATTGGATTGAGGTGGAACATATGTGCGCTTGCAGAACCGTTCCTTAAGATGACGAAATCATAAACGTGACGTTTCTGTATAGTTTTATTTATTTATTCCTTATATATATATATATAGAACCTTATAAAATAGGACAAAATGATAAAGAAAGAAATTATTAAAAAAACAAAAATGGCATCCACTCATATTTTACCGGTAAATTACCGCATTCAACACGTAAAAGTAATATAATCAAGTCACAATTAAATATTAGGTATGCAAATAAATTGAGTCACTCCATCGAATTCAAACTCAAGTCTAACTTGTGTTTAAAATTGCCACTCATCTTATGATCAAGCAGTATAAAGTGACTCTTTTAAGTAAGAGATTATGAGTTTGACTTATAAACGAAAAATATCACTTAAACTTGCTTTTAGCAGTAAGGCGAAAATTTTATCTCTATTATAACATGTCGTTTGGTTGGGAGTAAGGAATTAGGGTGGAAAGGAATTGCAATTCGGTGGAAAAAGAATAAGGTGGGAATAAAGTAGGAATTCAAATTACATTGTTTGGTAGAGATGCATAGAATTATTGGGTAGGGAATGAAAGAAGTGATATAAAGACTAAAATGTCCTTGTGTAAAAATAATAGTAGTAATAATCAAGGATACTTTTGTCATTTCATCTCTTTTTCCTTTTTTCACAACTATCAAATTGCAATTCATAGGGGGGTATCCATGAATTGCAATTCAGCAAAAGGAGGGAATTGCAATTATGTGGAATTGCAATTCCCTCCAACCAAACGGCGTAATTGTGGCTTCCACTGAATTGCAATTCAACTACAACCAAATTACGCCCAACCAAACATGCCATAAGTATTGGAGGTTTAGGTTTGAGATAAATTTCTATCGAGAAGTGTACAATTTGACGGTAAATCAAGTTTAATGACTTTTTATGATTACTCCTTTGAGACAACATTGTTGCTTTTTATTTTTTTAAGTGTTGAGGAAAAATTAGCTAGCACTATTCGAAGATGTTGATAGTACTAATACGCGTGGACTAGTAGCTAAACCAATCGCCCTAGCTTAGCGTTCGACTAAGTACTGGTCGGGAGCCTATGCGTTCTAGAGTCGGTCGAAAAGTCCCCTTTGCCGTCATTAATGTGGGTACTTGCGGAAAGGCCGAAAACACGGCCCCGGCTGCCGGCATGGCAACCACGTGGCATGTACGTATCTTCATAAGCGTCAAACCCTCGGCAAGACCTACTGTTGACACGTAGGATCTCGCTAGATTAGTGCGCGTGATGGTTAAGATTCGAAAAGAGCGGTCAGACAGAATATCGGTCGGGAAAAAACAGGAAGAGACAAACACTTGGTACCGATCGGGATAAAGGAATGGTAGTTCAACGGTCCAAGACCAGTCGAATGTATAACCTATCAGATATGTACTAAATAAACTCCACATTATGACTTTAGTAGATAAAAAAAATAAAAATATATACTAATATAAGTTACACCTCTTAACCTAGCTCAAATTCATCAATAAGAATATAAGATCAATAGACCATTCCTTTTGAGATTCTAACTTCTAAGTTGTTGGTTTCCTTTTATTTGTAACATTGACTGAGACCCAGCAACTGAAATGTAGGGAGAGAAACAAAGAAGAGAGAGAGAGAGAGAGAAGCGTACGTGTATGAACGAGCCGTGGCCGAGCGAGCAGTCGGCGCCACCGTATTCTTCCGGTAAATCAGACACAGCCGTAGTCCGCCGTCTCCACTCAACCACCTCAGCCTCCGCGCTGCTT